CTATTTATCTCTTATTTTAAAATGCCAGAAAAACTCAACTGAACTCAGTAATGTGGAAAACTCATTAATAACATACACCTAGAAAAATGTGCTGATTAAAAGAGAAAGAGGTATCTTCTATTCACTTTTGTTCCCCCTCTCCCCAACTAACCATAATAGGTACAGGCAAAGAAAAAAAAAACCAAAAAGCTAGGAGCCAAGAATTCCATCCTTGTCCTTTGCCTGGCTGCCACGGACCAAAGTACTTGGCCATTGTCCTTTATCTACCCTCTGATCAAGAACTGGAGCAGCCTGAACTTGAACCAGTACTCTGAGGTAGGATTCCAGCATTGTGAGCAGCAGCTTAACCTGCGCAACACAATACCTACTCCCAGTTAGTAACCAATGTTGGGTATTTTAGTAATTATAATATATAGACACCTATACATGTACATACACATGTACATGTGTGCGTTTATCCTCTCTGCAAACTAGAACATACCATTTCTGAATTTGTCACCTACTATTTTTAGTTGTTAACCAATCATTGGGAAGGTTTTCAACTTGTTTTAGACATCACACTATAGAACTAGAATTGAATAAAATATATACATGCGATAATCAAGTATAGTTATTTGAAATAATTATCTTTTTCTTATGTCTTAAGTGTTTTTGTACTTGTAAATACTTGTGTTTCAGTGGATCATAAGGAAGAACTTGGTCTAGCATACAGAAGATCCGTACTCAGTAGATCATCTACTAGTAAGAGCTTCCTAGAAATACACATTGCAAAATTGGCAAAAGTATTTCAAACTGTATGAATATGCATTCATAAGTTGTAAAATTGCCCTCAGACAAACCTGAATTACAAAGATTTGAGAAGTCATTTCTAGCTAACAGATTTAGCAAGATTGTTACTTTTCACCATTTTAATTATTTGTTTATAATATGGTCAAAAAATATTGACCAACCTATGTTTGGTCTAATTGCCTTTTTCTACCCATCTATACTATAAAATAGTTTGTCTGGCAAACATTCAAAGGCTAAAACTGAACATGATTGGGATGATTCAATTCAAGATAAGGTCAATACTGAATGGGGAGTAAGAAACAAAGATTGTATTTTAGGACGATTTGGGAAAAAATAATTTTTCAAGTTTACCTAATATCCTATACTGCTCTCACTTCAATGGGATATCACATTACCATCTGAACTGTGGCATGTAAACAGAACAAAAATCATTCTTCGGGTGTTGTTATTCATCTGATATTCAGGAAATGATCCCAAACCACAAATCTTGTGAGAGGAACATACATTTCCCCCCCGAAAAACCATCATGCAGGGTCTGTCCGTAAACGCTGTACTGACAGGCCTGGGTGACTGTCTACTGATTGATTACGATCTTATTTCAGAGAGAAAGGACACCTACATTGAACTGACAAATTTCAATAGAAATTAAAATCTACCTGTTCTAATTTTTTTCTGTTGTAAATATTCTATTGAAGTCCAGTAGGAACTAACTCATTCTAAGTATATTCATCACTGTATCTCTTTAAAGCTTAAACAGAATACTACAAGTACAGGCAGGAAATGGAGTTACTTACATTGTGAGCAGTGGTGTTGCCCCACTAGCTGACTTTTTGCAAGTCAAAGTTTTATTTGTGTTTAGTCTAATAAGCCCCATATAAATGGAGGTGAGACACACTTTTACTGAGGGCATGTCCTTTTCTCATTAATTGCTCCTAATTTTCGTGATGATTACTAACACAACATACAATTAATATGCCCAGGAGGTGGCAAAAAAGATTATGTGTCATGCTGTGGTTCATTTAATAGCAAAGAAAAAATTGCTGCAGCTTCCATTTTTGTAGGCAATTCTATCACATAATCTAGAAATACCTTTTTACCTTTTTTCTTCTGTCTAGATGTATCCATTCATACTTTAGTTTTTGGCACATTTCTGCCTTTTCAATTATTATTACTTTATTTAACATGAAACTTAGAGTTTTTTTCACTAAGATATTTATTACCTACTCTAAGGTAACCTCACTAAGACTCATGATATGCTATTTATACAGTTTGACAAGAATGAAAACTAAACATTCCAGGGCAGATTTTCTGTTTATTTCTTCAATATTCTTTTTTTAAAAAAAACAGATTTCTGGTTAATTCAATACTGATATTACTTGAAAATTATATTTCTCTAGCATTCTCCTAGAGTCTGTTTCTCAGAACTTAATTTTTGGACACTTCAAGATTTTTCTTTCCGTTTTAGGAAAGTATTGGCCTAAATATCACAACATTTCATACATATCCTTTATGCTTAATATTCATTAGCTTTGTTTTTGATGCACATGGGATTGAGCATTTTCATAACAGTTGATTAAGTAAATATTGAGTTCAATGGAAAGTTTTCTAAGTTAATTTTTATTCCGACTTCTTATTTTGGAGGAATAATTACTATTCGCTCCCCCTCGTGAGCTTGCCTTATGGCGAGGTACAGACGAGATCTCTGAGTCAGTCTGATCTCACGACTGGTATTTAGCTCTGACTCAGAAGATTAAGTTAATAAAGAGAGCATTCCTAAAAAAAACCTAATTAATTAATTTTAAAAAGTGTTCCATTACCCTTGATAGATGTTACATGTGTCTGAGTATCATTCATCATTCCTTGTGGTATTTTGTGCTTGATGCAGCCTGAACCAAGCTAGGCCTAAAGCTAAAGAGCCCTATAAGTATGGGTGAGCAGGCAGAACCTTTGCCTGATTTCAGAGGAGTCCCCAGTCTGTCAGGTAGGTGACTTCAGCTCATTGATGGAGACGAAGTCCTTAGCTCCCCTCATGGTTATTCATGAGAATAAGATTAGAGCGAAGGCATGCCTCCCTCTGATAAGGCCTCTGTCATGGACAGCGATAGATTTTGCAATGCTGGCATCGAGGTCTGGTTACCTTGGTGATAGGGGAATCACAGGCCTGTGTTCATGAGGGGTTTTTCACTTAGCACCAGACTTCCTGGCACCTAGGAGCAAGCAACTAAAACAACTACCGGTGAACGTGTTCACTAATTACCGTTATTGTAACCTGCTAGGAATCTCAGCCCGTCCGATTTATGTCATGTTTGATTTATGCACATAGATTAAAAATGGACTCAGGGAGTTGCTCTGGGCTCTTGTGTCTGGCTCATGTATGTGCCAAGACTCAACCCTGATCACCACTGCTTATCTTGTGTCATTCATTCATTCCTGATTCTTCCGATTTCTAATTGATTCTTTCCGTGCCTATCTTTCAGCCTTGTATCCTGCTGGACTGTTGCCTCAAAGTTCTGCAGAAATAATCAATCCTACATCTGCCTTTTTCATCCCGAGAATTCTGTACATTCTCAGCAGTCTAGCTTACAACCCTACATCTCCTCATATAGGATTGTAAACACCATATTACAACGTCTTTCTTTTTCAGTTGAACCCCTACCACCAAACTTCCACAGGGTCTCATCGGATTCATCGTCTATCATTAACAAAATCACCAACTCAAGCTTCCTGATTAATTTACATCTAATCGTTAATCCTTCCACATCCCTGGCCCTTTATTTAGAAAAGATACTTGTTTCTGTAGCTCTCATGAGTTACATATTTTGCAAAACTAGAACTGAGAGGTAGATGGTAACATTCTTCTATCTTTCAATTGCTGACTATACAGCAATGTTTTGCATCCTTTGCCACTGATTCCAATTTTCCTAAAGTTCATGCCACAAGACAATACCTCTGCTCTGGTTGGTGTGCTTTTGTAATAATATGTTGGATCTTTATGGGTAGGAATTTAGCCGTGGTGACAGCACCTTGAAAGGGGTTCAAGGCATCTCAGGTTAACGGCTTATTTTTGGAGTGGTTCAGGACTCCTCCTGAGCCCAGATGACTTCTCATTAGAATGAAGTATTCTGAAGCACTTTCAGCTTCTTTGCTTGTTTTTTGCTCTCTCACACTCAATCACATCCACACAGTTACACAGCACTTGCCAGAGGCCACATAAAGATAGTTACATAATCTCGGACTTGCAGTCTCCAAAGACTATAACCTAAGCATGCCTATTTTTATAGTAACACAAATACATATATTGTTAAGTAATACAGACTGAGAAAATCACCTACCACATATTCTTGGAGTAGCCATACACATACATCCTAAATAATAGATCTTATTAATTGCATATGCTAACAGCTGGGTTTATTGGTTTATTGCTTTCTTTTTCTCCATCACAATATGAGGGTACTGCAGAGAGTTCATTACAAAAAGGTGGAATTTAAAGATAACTGTATTTTGGTGAAATAATTATGGAAATCCATGCAATAATTCATTCACAATACACATCTGCCATAAAGTATTTGAAGATCTTTTATTGTGTATGAGCTTCGAGAAATTTTTGGACCAAAACAAGATTTCATTTTAATTCCATTTTCTATGAGCTTTTGAAGTATCCCTGTATATTCCCTTTGCATATATGGCCATGCAAATTAGAGTCAAGTAGCCATAGCAGAATTTTCAAAGTTTATCATTTACTCTTTCATAAATTGAGTCATTTACATGATTCAAGATCTTGCAATTTCCTAATATCTGTTCCCTCATGATACTAACTTCTCACTACTTTTAGGTGGATTTCCATTCTCTCCTACTTCCTTCTCTTCCCACAGGCCCTCCCTTCAGAACTAATACCTGGGTTAACTCTTCAGATCTTGAAAACATGAGTAAGTTGATTAGCCAAATCACACAGAAACTATAGCAACATTTATTCGGTATAAAATATAAGTAATTTGATCTCATTTTCATAAAAGTAATATAAAAGCTGCTTCATACTTACCTCATAATTAACCTACACTTAATTTGAGTAATTAAATTCCACATCTATTTCAGGCATTTAAAATAACAAGTATAACTACACAGCAAATGTAAACAGCACTGCTATGTTCATCTACAAATCTTGGACTCTTCCCTTTTACTTTAACTCAGTATCTAAATACAGCTCCTCCTACCTTCACTCTGAGCACAGAAGCAAACATCCTTGCATCCTCAGATACACCGCCAATGTAGAATCTTTTCTGAAACACTGGAGGATGATCATTTTCATCCTGAATCTCAATGTACACTTTCGCTGTATTGCCTGGACAATAAAAAGAAAATATTTTTTATTAGGGATTACTCATAGAAAAAAAAATTGTGCCAAGGAACAAACATTTGGCCTAGCAATAGATTTGTCAGTGAGTTGCATCACTTTCGGAGTTTGAGTCTTGGCTACACTCCCAATTCCAGTTCCAGTACCTGATTCCATGACACTCAATTAGAAGACCCAGACTGATTTCTGGTCTCATGGCTTAGACCTGGTGCATAACAGCAAGTTATGGGCATTTGTGTGTGATTCAGCAACTGGGAAGTCTTTTGGTCTGTTTTCTATCTCTTAAATCAAACTTATAAAAAGCAATGGAGGGCCCAGGACAAAGGCACAATTGGCTAATCCTCCCCCTTCAAGCACCAGTATCCCAGTTTATGGGAGGTAGAGGCCAGACCAGAGCCTTGGGATCCTGCACCTGTGTGGGAGACTGGAAGAGGTTTCCTAGCTCCTAGCTATGAATAGGCTTAGCTCAGACAACTCTGGCCACTTGGGGTGTAAATCATCAGATAGAGGGATTTTTCTGTCTCTCCATTAATCTGACCTGTCTTTGCAATAAAACAGATAAAATCTTTAAAATAAAAATGCATGGCAATACTTATACTTAAAAATAACAATGGAAATAACTTCAATCAAAATGCCATTCTTTTTGATTGAAACAAATAAATATGTATTTTATTTTTATTGGAAAGTCTGATATACAGAGAGGAAGAAGGACAGCTATGAAGATTTTCCATCTGATAGTCCACTCCCCAAGCAGTCACAACAGCTGGAGCTGAGCCAATCTGAAGCCAGGAGCCAGGAGCTTCTTCTGGGTCTCCCACAAGAGTGCAAGGTCATAAGAACTTAGGCTGTCCTCAATTGCTTTCCCAGGCTGCAAGCACAGAGCTGGATGGGAAGTGGGGCTACTGAGTTTAGAACTGGTGGAATTATATGGGATTCCAGCACGTATAAGGTGATGACTCTAGCCACTAGGTTACTACGCTGGGTCCCCAGAATGTCATTCCTACAAGGGTACTCAATCTCCCAAAAAATCAGAATATAGGTAATAATGCTTTTGATATAACAATATTAACTCATTGCTATTTCTTTAGTCATAAGGGCTTTGTAATTGATTTTACTCAATTTAATAGACAAAAATGCACTTTGAATTGAAACAACTCCAGTTTAAGTCATTATCATTTCACTCTTATTCATTTCATTCTTACACTACAGTAAAAATAGCTGAATATTAACTCCTTATGAAGTAACAAAAAATTCATAAACTAAAAATATACTTTTCTTGACTGTATGCATAAAAGTTAAAGACATGATTTTTTAGTTCCTGTAGTACTTTTGCTTCAATACTAAAGGTAAACACTTTCCGGACAATGCTTCTTCCACAAAGGAATATAAGCGTCATCAATGCTTACAAGTAACATCCCTTGAACAAAATGCAATATATCTGAATAAATGTTAATTGCATCACAAAGGATATATTTTATCATTCAAATTACATTAAATATACCACAAATCATTTTAAAAGAAAAACGTGGTGCTTTTCAGCCGTCCAAGAAAAATCTTTTTCAAATATTCTTATAGAATCTGACACATAGCCTAGAGAGTAAATTCTCATCTTGTGTGCACCGGGATCCCATATGGGTGTTTGTGCATACCAGCTGCACCCAGCTCCCTGCTTGTGGCACAGGAGAGCAGAAGATGGCCCAGTGCCCGGGGAGACTGCACCCACTTGTTTGACCTAGAAAAAGCAATGTGGCTTCTGTTCGGTTCAGCTCCTGCTACTATGGCTGTAATTTGTAAATTTTACTTTCCAATAAGAATAAACAAAATCTTCAGACAATCCTATATGTGTACATAATTTGTAATCAGATTAAAGAGGAAATAAGTTACTATCATTTTTTCAAAAAGTAGATACAAATCAATATTCCAGTGCATTACTTAAGTAAACTTTTCTGACGCATTTCAATGACGATCTGATAGGAATGTACAACTGACTAGCAGCTGTTTTTCAATGATACTTGTTTTAGCATTTTATTCTAGATTTCCATGGTCCTAACTTAAAACAGTCAATATCAGCTAGTGATTCAACAGGTGCATTACTCGTATACAATATGTCTGTGCTGATGAAATAATTGGGTGAACAACTTGACTCATCTTAGTAAGAACTCAGTAACAGGGTTTGTCCTACCCTGGGAAGGGTCAGAGAAACTAGTTAACTCCAATGTGTGGACCATACCCTGCGGCTACACTTCTGTTTTTCCTCTTATTTCTCTCTCTCCTTGAACTGGAGGAGCTAAAATCCAGAGGGGAAGTGTGCAGGGTCCACAGAGAAAAGTGCCAGCAGGGAAGTGCAGCTAATGACAGTTCATACACGCTTCCCTGCAGTGCCAGGGCTTTGACCTGCACCCCAGTCAGCCACCACTCATCAGAACTCACTCAAAATAATCCCATTTTCTATCTTACTACCAGACACATATTGTCACTGTAATGAAAGCAACAAACAATTCTACATGTAGCATTTTTTAAAAAGAGAATTCCTATGCTATACATCCTTTCCGATAATTCTGTTATTCAAAATTATTCATACGATCAGGTAACTGCAAGAGTTTCCATGTAAAAGCCAATCTGTTCATGTACTATAGATTACAAAACAGGCCATTTTAATAGCAATAAACAAACAAACAAATAAATAAAATTTAACATGAAATGCAAGGTTCTTAATAAATTAATGCAATGCGGTAGTTGATTTATTTAGCTTCCTTTTGCACTTTATTGACACTGCCTAGTAGTGCATACCAATTTTGGATATGATTGCTGTAGTGCCTGTACAAACTCAGCCCTCGCAGCACATGTGCAAAGTTACAGCTCTACCTGTCAGTCACAGCCAATGGCTATCTTACAGAAACATTCACTTTCCAAGAACTTATGTGCTACACTCCAGCCACCATGCCATTTTACTTCAGAAATTTCTGGAGAACAAGGCAGTGTCTATGGGATAAGCAGATGCAGATGCTCTCACTGGTGAACTCTAACAACTGGTGATTGTCTAAGTTGTCAGGTAACTCTTGTTTTCCTAACAATGTCACATGGGCTCATTCCTTAAATTTTAATGAATGTGGTTAAGTTATTCACTGTAAATTTACAAAGTCTTTACATAGACTACATAGAGAAGTAACTGTGGTATACTCTGTGGAAGAATAATTTTATTAATGCTTGCCTTCAAAGAACAGAAATATGTTACAATTGCTATATTCAATTATGTGTTTATCTGTTTGACTCTATGGATACTGAAGATTTTAAAATATCATTTGTTCCATAGATAACTTGCATAATTAAATTTAAGATTTAGAATTCAAACCATTCTTTGGTTGGGGGCCAACGCTGCGGTTTAGCAGGTAAAGCCACGACCTGTGGCACCGGGATCACATATGCGTTCTGGTTTGATTCCACTTGCTCCACTTCTGATCCAACTTCCTGCTAATGCACCTGGGAATGCAGCAGAGGATGTCCATAGGTGCTTGGGCTTCTTCATATCATGTGGGAGACCTGAAAGAAGCTCTTGTCCTCTGGCTTTGGATGTGCCCATCTCCTATCATCATGGCCATGTGGGTGGCAAATTTTCTCTCTTTGTCTCTCCCTCTATCCCATATTCTGCGTTACAAATAAATAAATTTTGCAAAAAAAAAAAAAAGTTATTTTGGTTAAGTGAGCTGAACTAGCTTGCAAGTGTTCTGAGGTATGAGGTGCTAAGGTAAACTTGGAACGTAACTATAAAACTTGTAGGAAATGAGGAATGGAGATTCATTCTATTTAAATAATTCAAAACATTTCAACTGAAATTGATGAAACACAATACATATAGAATGCTGTGCAGTGAGAGTTCAGTATGATGAAATTATTTTTTATTTGCTTGCTAACTTTTGGTTATAAGATTGCACATGTGTTCTTAATTCTTGTTCTCTATTTGTAACACAAGGGACTTTAGATCTGGATGGAAAAATGAGTTTAAAAAAACTCACAAGCCACAAAAGTTTCTGCACCACAAATCAACTAACACAATAAAGAGGCAGCCAACAGAATGGGAGAAAATATTTGCAGATTATGCAACTGATAGAGTATTAATACCCAGTATCCCTAAGGAACTCAAAGAACTCAACAAAACAAACAATATGGTTTAAAAATGAGCAAAGAACATAAACAAGCATCTCTGAAGTAATGAAATTCAAATGGCCAATAGCCATATGGAAAAATGCTAGACTTACTAGCCATCAGAGGAAAGGCAAACAAAACCACGATGAGGTTTCACCTCACCACAGTTGGAATGCCTACCACACAGAAATCAGAAAACAATGCATGCAATTGAGGATGTGGGAAAAAAGGTATTCTAATCCAGTGCTGATGAAAGTGTAAGCTTGTGCAATTATTATGGGCGACGGGTATGAGGATGCCTCAAGCATGTGAAAATAGATTTACCATATCACCCAGCTACCCATTCCTGGGAATTTATCCAAGCAGAATGAAAGTGGCATATGGGAGAGTTACCCGTAACTGCATGTTTATAGCAGCTCAATTTACAATAGCTAAGAAATAGAATCAACCCAAATGCCCATCATTAGATGACTGAATAATGAAAATGTGGTATATATACAATATGGAATAACATTCAGCTACAAAAAGGAATGAAATCTTCCCTTCTGTAATTAAATGCATGCAATTAAGAACCATTATGCTTAATGAAATAGGCCAGTCCACCCAAATACAAATATCATATGCTTTACCTAATTTTATAATAAATAGTGTACAAAATGTAATCTATATGTGTGAGATTAACATTTGGGATTTATTTATTTTATACACCCTTTGTTCATGATCACATGAAGCAATATGCTTTTTATTTTTTGTTTTATCATGTTTTTGTTCTGTTATTATGCTCCACATACAACAAAACCACATTAATTTTCTTATTCTACTAACATGTGAAATTATTTTACTAT